TGGTCACAACAAGAAGGCAGAAATGAACAGAGCCTCGTTTATCTGAACAGGGTACTCTGTTGTTTGGTTAAGTTTGCTTAGACAAGCATGCTAAAATTTGATGTAAAGAGCAATTTATTCATTTAGCGAATATTTAAGTTCTTACTGAGTACTTGATACAAAGTTAAGAGCCAAAGAGAACAGGGTATTTGCCTTTAAGAAGGTTGGGGTAGAAGGTGGAGAGATAGCACAGCGGGTAGGGCGTGTGCCTTGCACGCAGCTGACCCGGGTTCGATTCCCAGCATCCGATATGGCCTCCTGAGCACCGCCAGGAGTAACTCCTGAGTGCAGAGCGAGGAGTCACCCCTGTGCATCGCCGGGTGTGACCCTAAAAGCAAAAAAAAAAAAAAAAAAAAGGAGCTTGGGGTAGAATGTGGAGAGATGGTATGCGGGTAGGGCGCTTGCCTTGCCTGTGCCAATCTGGGTGCAATCCTTGGCACCATATTTGGTTCCCTGTGCCTCAACCAAAATGATATCTGAGCACAGAGCCAGGAGTCAGTCCAGATTATTGCCACCAGTGGCTCCAAAATAAAAACCAAACAACGAAAGCCTAGAGGGGGGCTGGAGAGGACTGAGTGCGTATTTTGCGTGTGGGGAGTCCAGGTTTGATTCCTGCATCACACACACACATATGGTCCCTTGAGCACTGCCAGGTGTGGCTGGGTCCTGGAGGTCTTCAGCTGTCGGGGCTCTGCTCGGGGCAGAGAGGGAAACTCAACCAGGCGCGGGGCAGAAGACTCTGTGTTGTTCTCTTCCAGGAGCTTGGTTTTATAACCAGACCTGATTTCAAAAAAAAATATATATATATATACATATATATACATATATATATATAAAGGTTGGAGTGATAGTACTCCGGTTAAGGTTGCCCTTTACATATCCAACACTGGTTCAATCTCCAGCACTGTGTATGTTTTCCTGAGCATGGTCAGGAATGGTTCCTGAGCCCAGAGCCATGAATAAGTCCTGAGCACCAGTCAGGTGTGGCCCCCAAAACAGGGAAAAAAAAAAAAAAAGGAAAAAGAAAACCAAAGGAGCAAATCAAAGAATATCTTTAATTTCTTTTGTGGAAGAACTTCTCTCCCTTCGTTTATATAGCTACATCTCATTAATTTGGTGTCTACATAACTTTTAAGGTGATAATCTGAGTTTAATAATTTTTTTGAATGTGTGCTTGAGCTGAGAAGAGCTGGAACCAAGTATAAAGTCTCACAAACTAAAAAAACGCTATCGTTGAAATTTTTTCCTCGTCTGTGATTCAGAGTGCCTTTTGACCCATTCTAGCAAACTTACTTCATGGAAGAATTGTATAGAGAAGTCTGTAGCCTAGCTTTCTGATTTTTTTGACTGACATAAACTGAGTTGTAGTAGTAATTCAAGCAGTGGTACTATTAAAATAGGAATACCTTCTTTAAAATGATCTGATATATTCTCTGAGTTGTATTATAAATTCAGTTAGATCTATAATGACAATTTATGTCAGTAAACAATGAAAAGGAGTTGAAACCTGAATTTAGTCTGACATACAAGAAAGTATTCTGTAGCACAAATTAAGTTAGATGGGAATTTTTTTCATTCTTAAAATTGTTTTTCAGTTCAGTTAATATTTAGTGTGTATGCAGCACCATATTTAGAAATGTGTAGCTGGAAAAGTGTGTATTTTCTTCAAGTATTATGTTTATCAGAAGAGTATGTGAATCTTAAGCATATTGCTTGATAATTTTCCTAAATGAACGTACTCAGATAACTGATTATGAAAATTCTGTTTTTGGTGGTGGATCTTTAGGAGGGACTCCTAAGTAGTGCTCCAGGGTCTCAGGGGCTACGCCTAGTGATTCTCAGCTACATGTTAGCTTCACTGTTAGTGCCCGAGGACGCAGTGCTATTTGGGCTTTGGTGTGCCACCCTATCTGGGCGACTGGCAGTGAAGCATCTAGGGCTACACCCAGGGGTGGGAAAGCTCGTACAGAGGTTAAGGTATTTGCAATAAATTTGTCCAAGTCTTGCTCTACCCGCAGCCCCACATATGGTTGGTCCCCTGAACAGCAGCAGAAGTGAGCCCTGAGTACTTCTGGGTGTGATCCAAAGACCAAGAAAACCAAAAGAATAAAACAAGGTAGCACTCAGCAAATGCCTGAGAGGCTATCTGGTGCTGAATCAGGGTTCGCTGCATGTAAGACATGTGCCTTAATTCCCATCATCTCCTTGTTTAGAAAAGCCTTCTTTTTTTAATAGTTAAGGTTGCAAAAGGATATATACTATTTGGGAACACAGTGGTTTAGAACACTTGCCCTGTAAGGGCAAGGCTGAGAGTTCGGTTCCTGGTGTGCTATTCAAACCCACATGTACTGAGTGTAATCCTGTCAGTTCTGCTGTTTGCAGTCCCCAGTGCTTAAGTGATTTCCTACTGCAGAGCAACAAAGGGGTGAGAGCTCTTTGCTTGAAAGGTGTGTAAGGACCACAGCCAGGAAGCAGGATCTCTGGCTGGCAAGCAGGTGTATAAAGCTGCAATGACTTTCGCTCAAGAGTGTGTCCCCCCCTTCCTGCCAAAGCAAACACCCTGAGAAAGATGTGGGGTGTTCTTTGAACACCACAATTTGATGTGTGTCCCTGGCGAGCTAGAAAGTGCAAGCACCATAGGAAGACAGCTATCATACCTGGTCGTGACAGCAATATTATCAGTAATAAAGACAGGGAATGGAAAAATTAATCCATTCTCTCTCTCTGCTATTCCGGGCTCTGTGCTCAGGGGCTGCCACTGGTGGTTCTCAGGGGACCATTTGGGGTGCTGGAGATTGAACTGGGGTCAGATGCATGCAAAGCCTTAACCCCCTATATTATCTCTCTGGTCCCCATTTTCTTTTTCGTTACATGAAGGGCTAAATGGCAGTGTTTTGCTGCTGAACCAGCATAGTATTTAAAACATTATATAGTTTGTTTATGGGCTAAACTTGGCTGTGCTCAGGGCTTACTCCTGACTCTGTACTCAGGAATATGAGTGCCAGGGATTAAACCCAGGTTAGCTGTATGCAAGAAAAATGCCCTATCCTGGTGTACAATTCCTCTAGCCTCTTTTTTTTTTTATTCTTGATAGTGCGTTGTCTGAGATAATTGAAATGCATTATACCATATTGTAGCACTGTAGCATGGTCCTCTCGTTGTTCATCGATTTGCTCGAGCGGGCCCAGTAACGTGTCCATCGTGAGACTTGTTGTTGCTGTTTTTGGCATATTGAATACGTCGCTTGCCAGGCTTTCCGTGTGGGCGAGATACTCTCGGTAGCTTGCCGGGCTCTCTGAGAGGAGCGGGGGAATCGAACCTGGCTCGGCCAGGCTGGCTGTGTGCAAGGCAAATGCCCTACTGCTGTGCTGTCGCTCCAGCCCTATACCATATTATTTTGCCAGAATCTGATGTTTGTTAAATGTAGTTTCCTTATGTGTAAAACTTGGTTTCTCTAAATTGAATATCATCCTAATTTGTAAGTTTGAGATTTAATAAAATTCTTAACATTACTTGAAAAGGGCACTCTTAGGGCCAGAGATAGAGTACAGTTGGCGCTTGCCTTGCATGTGTCCAACCCAGGTTCAGTCACTGGCACCACCTATGATCCCAGGAGTGGTCCCTGAGCACTGAGGTAGGAGTAAGCCTTGAGCATGCTGAGTTTGCGCCCCCCTCCCCCCAAAAAAAAGAAAGAAAAGAAAAGGGCACTTATCTGGATCAGGGAGTGGACTGGAGGCCTAGGTTTGAACCCCAGCACTGCATAGTTTTCCAAGCAGAACTAGCCCCCAACACAAGAACCAAAAAAGAGGGCTGGAGCAATAGCACAGTGGGTAGGGTGTTTGCCTTGTATGTGGCCGACCTGGGTTTGAGTCCCAGCATCCCATATGGTCCCCTGAGCACCAGATTTACAGGAGTAATTAATTCCTGAGTACTTGAGCCAGGAGTAACCCCTCTGCATCGCTGGACATGACCCAAAAAGGGGGAAAAAAGAGGGCATCATGTTGTTTCTATTAGATGAAATTCAAATAGGGAAAGTGTCCTTACTGCCCACAATCTGGTGGTTGTATGAGAATTTGGCCTAATTTCAGCTGTCAACTGGGTTAGTTTGACCAGTAGCAGAAACTTGGAACTTCTGCCATGAAATTGATGGAGAGTGATACTTAGAGGTAAATTGAGGTTAACTAGAAAATAATAAGACATTGTAGGACAGTTTTCCTAATAGCAGGTGATAGAACGAGTGCCTGAAGGGTTATCCTGTGAAAGTGTTGCCTTGAAAAGGGTGCTTTCTTTGCAGACACCGAAGAAAAGTCCACACTCTATAGACTCTCACCCAAAGCTCCTCTGATCTTCACTTTCTTTGTCTTTGGAGCTAGAATGTTTACATACCCTTCAGGGCAGTGTTAAACAGCGAAAGCAAATTGACTCTTTACTTTCAATCAATATTTGTATAATTATACAATGGAATGAAATTGCAGGCCTAGACATCTATAATATTAATCTACATCTACTGGAGCATATTACAGCCGTTACATTTGAATCTGCCTCTTAACATCTCTGGCACAGCCACACACGACTCTGAAGGAGGCTGTTTTTGTTTTATAGCAGTACCGGTCCTGGTGCGTGACAGCTGCCCCAAAGGTATCCCCCTTTGATTGCCTTCTGTTCAGGGGCTTTCAGTGTTGGTTTTACATCTGGAGCGAGGTGACTAATGAGTTGCTTAGTTTATAGCAGATGCCACTGGCGAAGCCAAAAGTAAGTGGTCTATTAACATAGGAATTGCACCCCACAAAGCACTCCTCCGAGTGAGGACCTGCTCCTGGTTATTTTTAGCTGGGTTTGCCCATAGTTCAGCGGGTCCCTTAATTACGTATTTGGAATAAAACCAACAGAGGACTCATTTATTTGCGAGCATTTTGACCCAGTTTGTTGCTTGAATGATGAAAACTCCCCCTTTTCTTTAGAATTCATCCAGTTGGCAAAGGACTTTGAGGATTTCCGTAAAAAGTGGCAGAGAACAGACCACGAACTGGGGAAGTACAAGGACCTTTTGATGAAAGCGGAGACTGAGCGTAGTGCTTTGGACGTTAAGTTGAAGCACGCACGCAACCAGGTGGACGTGGAGATCAAACGGAGACAGCGAGCTGAGGCTGACTGCGAAAAGCTGGTGTGTATTGTTTTCTGGATTGGGACTGTGGACAGGCCAGTGCGGGGAATTCCACTTGGTCATATGTGCTCGGTTTCTCTTTTCTACTTTATTTTTTTAAATACAGAATTTAATTCCTTTTTCCCCCTAAGGTCGCTTTATTTATTTTTTGCTTTTTGGGTCACACCTGGCAATGCACAGGGGTTACTCCTGGCTCATGCACTCAGGAATTACTCCTGGCGGTGCTTGGGGGACCATATGGGATGCTGGGAATCGAACCTGGATTGGCCACGTGCAAGGCAAATGCCCTGCCCGCTGTGCTGTCACTCCAGCCCCCATCATTTTTCTGCTTTAAAGAACTAAAAGCCACTTGTCTATGACAGCTTGCCTATGATTGCAGCTTAAGAAGCTTGTTCTTCATAAGTTAAAATCAAGTTTTTTTCTTTTAGAATTGAAACTATTAATAGAGTTCAAATGAGAATGAAACTTCCAATGAGAAGTAAAATGGAGCGGATGGGGGATGGGAATCAGCACGATTTGATCTGTCACAAGATCTGACGACTTAGAATGACCTCATGGTTGTCTCAGTCGTTACAGTCAAGACTTCCCTTGCGGCTTCTCTTCCTTGTCTCCCTGTGGTGCCAGGACCCCACAAATGCAAGGGAAATGTTCTACTGTTCAGTAGATTTTTGCCTCTTCTTTCTTTTTTTCCTATTAAGCATTATAAATCATAACATCGTGATTTACAATATCGTTCACAATACAGTTGTTCCAGGCGTTCAGTTTTCCCAACTCCAGTCCCACCGCCAGTGTGGCTTTCCCTCCACTGGTGTCCCCAGGTTCCCGCCTACCCTTAAGCCTCCCCCCTCAGCACCACAAAATCGTTTACTTTGTATCAGTTGTTATAACACACACCAAAATAAAAATTACTTTTGCCTTACTAATTCTCTTTGGAGTGGGGGTGGTTGCTGGGGTGGGTGGGTGCACATGTGTGCTGGCCCTCCTGCCTTGTTCCTTTTAGCACTGCTCCTAACACAGGGTACAGGGTTAGATACTTTCAGCCAGTTGGACACTGTGGCTAACACAACCTCTACCACTGTTGTTGTAATGGTCCAGGGCGGGTCATGGTACAGAGGAAAGTCTTGCCTTTGCTAGGAGGGACTAATCCATCTTGCTACAGTGTTAGATGCTCCGCAAACTCACATTATCTGGTTCCGGTGCATCACAGTTCTGTTTTCATTTTAATGCATTTTGCTCTGCCGCTTAGAAAGGTGGATGGTTGCTTTGATCTATAGGAGCCACCAATAGTGGTCCTGAGAAAAAGACACTAAAGTGGTGTTGGGAGGGAGGCCGAGGACACTGATGGAGGGAGGTCGCCAGTGGTGGTGGGGCTGGTGCCAGAACGTAGTGTGCCCAGAACTCAACTATGAATCGCTGTAAATCATGATGTCGTAGTAAAAAAATCAATGAAAATTTAAATGACACTGAAATGTTTTTACTATGCATAACCCATTTTTGGGCGCATATTTTGATGCTCTCTCTTCTTGGATTAGTCCAAGTATGATTGAAAAATCTTGTAGCAGAAACCCTGCCATCCTAGAGTTCATTTTACCAGTCAGAAATCAGAGACACAATCTGGGCTTGATGTGAATTAATATGCTGTTGGTGTAGCAGTCTTCCTGAAGCTTCATTTGCATAATGCTGTATTTTAATGTCTGGTCTGCCCATCCCATAAATTCGAGGTGAAGCTTTCTGCCCTGGTTCGTCAGGATGTTTTCTCTGCTTCCCTCCGCAGGAAAGACAGATTCAGCTGATTCGAGAGATGCTCATGTGTGACACATCTGGTAGCATTCAACTAAGCGAGGAGCAAAAATCCGCTCTCGCTTTCCTCAACAGAGGCCAGCCATCCAGCAGCAATGCGGGGAACAAAAGGTGGGGCCTGCATCTCTTGTTACCTGACGACAGGCAACGTAGCTGCCAGAAGTTCTTGCTATCTGAACTCTTATTACTGCTTCTGGGATGTGTGCTGAATAAAGCAGGAAAGGGCTTGCTGAAAGGGTGCAGGAAATAAAGGCACGGCGGCCTCCTGTGTTTATTTCGTTGCTTGAAATCTGAGGGTTTTGCTTCACAAGGGTAAAATTTTGATGTTATGCTAAATTGTGCATCAAAAACTAACCCTGCATGCCTCTCTTGCAAACCACGGAACCCAAAAGGAGGGAGAGAGCAAAAGGGAATGCCCTGCCACAGAGGCAGGGTGGGATGGGGGGATGGGGGGCGGGAGGGTTACTGGGACCCGTGGTGGTGGAGGATGGGCGCTGGTGGAGGGATGGGTACTTGGTCATTGTATAACTGAAGCCCAAGCACAAAAATTTGTAAGTCTACAACTGTACCTCATGGTGTTTCACTAATAAAAAAAATAAATAAAAATAAAAAACCTAACCGTGCTCATTGCAAAGAAATCTAAGGGTGAAAGTGGCAGCTCAGCACTACTTCCAGTGTTGACTCTCCAGAGAGCTCTTGTAGCTCTTTTGGTTTCGGAAAACCCTCTGTGAGCTAAGACAGTAATTTTGGTTTCACTGCATCACTATTTAAAATAGTCTCCATCAGACTTTGAATTTAGCATCTCCAGTACTGTAAGTAGGGAAAAGTCAGCATTCTTAGAATGATTTATTTTGTTGTCTGTTTGTTTTTTGCCTAATCTTTTAACTAAGAATTTCTTAAAAAGGTCACGCTCGCTGACACTCTTCTGTAGAAACCGACTACAGTTGATCAAATCGAACTTGACTCTTCTGCCTCATGAATTTTTAGTAGCCTTGTTTTATAAACCCAGCAGGGAACAGCACCCATATTCCTGGCTACAGCTTTCACTGCCTTTATCAACCTTTGTGAAAAAGATCCGTGATGCATACTCAGACTCCCTCATTAGAACTATAAAGCCACCCACGACAGAGAGCTCAGGTTTGAACTTGCAGCGTCATGTGTCGGGATCCCAGCTACAAAATTACTCATGTTACCTGGCCAGTAGGACTTTTTCAGGTGGTGCTGGATTTTGCTTTCCATAGACTTCTGTGTCTAACACTGTTTTGTTTTATTCATACCTAGACTGTCAACTATTGATGAATCTGGTTCCATTTTATCAGATATCAGCTTTGACAAGACTGATGAATCACTGGTAATAAACATTTGTTCTCTTAGTATTATTTACTTTTCTTGGCCCTTATTCCACAAGAATATCTTTTGCCCTCTTATCTGAAACTCCTTTTTTTCCCTATTTTATTAATTCAGGTTAAGTTTTAGGTATTGAGCTATCGTTTAAAAATATGAATCCACACAGGCTATAAGAGGCTGACTTGTATCGTTAGTATCTAGAAGTGGATCTATAGAATTCAGGATTTGGTCGAAGGTTAAATTTATCTAACAGACCTGTGAGCCTCATGTATTGATTGATTACCTCTTAATCCAGTAAAGCCCCAACCCCTGCAATTGAAAAATTAGTGAGGGACTAGAGAGCTAGTACAGCAGGTAAGGCCTTGCACATAGCCGACCCAGGTTCAACCCCTGACATCCCAATGGTCCCCTGAGCCTGCCAGGAGTGATTGGTTCCTGAGTGCAGAGGGTAGGGCGAGACCAGCATGGCTAGATATGGCCCAAAGACCAAAAACCTATTTGCTTTCCTGCTTTTGGAGGGAGCTTCTTTTAACTTATGCTGGTGTTTCTATTATAAAGGCCACCTCCTGGTATTTCCACTTGTGGTATTTAGGATACTAATATATTGTTTGTTTATGGTTCCAAATTTTACCGACCGGAAGCAAACAAAGCAATCAGGAGGTTATTGGTGGTGAAATTTTCTAATGGTAGCACAAATGGCAACCACTTGTTATGTGGTTACAAGTTTTCTGTCAAAATTCAGTATAGTGTGAGGGAAATAATTGCCAATTTATAGAAAGGTCATTGTGGGATGTATAATGAAACTAAAATATATTATTAGCTGGTTTTAGAGCTAAATCTATGATAATGACATCTATTATAACTGAAGCTGAATCGAACAACCAGTAACTCTACTACTGGACTGTGAAGTGGAGCTGTTCAGTACAAAGTGGATGAGTTACTGTTTGCTCTGTCCAACTCTTTTTGAATTTTGTGTTTTCAGGGACTACCAGGATTAATGAATTTACAGTAGCTACTGAAAATAATTAAAAAACAAGTGAAATGAAAGTAGACCATAGTAAAAGGCAACTTATTCTTCAAGGGAGAACGTCTTTTTTTAAGACCCAAGGAAGTGGCATGATTGTAAGATTTAAAATCTAAATTGGAACTTCTTAAGTGATATCATGGCACAACACATCTGATGAGAAAATAGCATTCCCTTAGGAGCAAGAATCCTATCTAACATGACCAGTATGGTACCTAGCATTATAAGTTCTAAAACTAATTACAAAAATAATCAGAACTAAAGGACCAGGCACAGGAGAGAATCACGACAGAGCTTGATTCTTTAACCTTGTCTTGCCTCTGTGGTATTGATTCCTGAGTCTATTATAATAGCTTCAATTTTAGAAAGAAAACATGCGACTTCTATAGCTACACCGCTTGAATGCTTCCTCCCCCTCTCCCTGAACCTGTTCCTAGGTAATCTTCCTCAGGAAGTCTTTAAGGTTTGTTGTAAATTCATTTGCAGTGTTTAGGGGAGGCCTAATCCAAGAGAAAACATTAATACCATGTCATTGTTTACAGGAATGGGACTCTTCCTTGGTAAAAACTTTTAAACTGAAGAAGAGAGAAAAGAGGGTATGTTTGATGTATTTGACCTTTGTTTCACAACTTAGCAAGAGAGGTTTTCTCCAGAAACTTTGCCACGATACTGCATGTTGCTCTAGCCATTGTTAAACATAAAATATAAAGGGATCATGCTCTAGGGGCTATTATTCAAGAAAGACTCATCCTATTTCACTATTCTGGGCTACTTCCCAGTTCATTCACCAGTGGAAAAGGATTCTCTTAAGTTTATGTTTATTGTCATGTGAATTTTTACACAGAACTCTTGTGCTCTAATATAAGCTTCAGATGTAATATGTGTATAAGGAGATATACAGAAATCCTTCTGTTTATGCTTAAGTTACTTACAGTATTTCCAGAGACTTCTTGTGGTTTGATTGGATTACAGCTCTATTTTTCTGGTGCTGTCATCTGAATTTTCCTGTAGTGGGCTTATTTCTTCTAGGGTTCTGAGGACATTTTTGAACTGGTAAAACTTAGTATAAATACAGGCAGTGAAAAAGAGCACGTTGTTTATTCACTGTAACCCTGGTCCCTAAGATTTCCATCCATGTTGTGTAACGGAAGTTTCATGTGCTGTGCATTGGATCTTCCATATTGAGGTGGTGGTGTTTTTTTTTTTTTTTATATCCTCTCTAGCGTTCTAATAGCCGACAGTTCATTGATGGTCCCCCTGGACCTGTAAAGAAAACACGCTCCATTGAGTCCACAGTAGACCAGGTAAGAGAATTGTGGTCTTAAATTCATCAGAGATAGTGGCCCCAAGCATTAAAATCCAGAATTGGGTCTGGAGCAGTAATACAGCAGGTAAATCTTGCACGCAGCCAATCCAGGTTCAATCCCCGGCACCACTTATGGTCCCCGAGCCCTGCAGGCGTAATCCCTGAGTTCAGAGCCAGGAGTAAGCCTTGAGTACCTCTGGATGTGACCCCAAAACCAAAACAAAACAGCGTCAGTATTGCAGTGTGATTTTTGAGAGAGAGATTTGATGAAAGTTTTTCTTATGATAGAATCTTTATCATCCATTTGAAAGGAATTATCTGGGGGGAGGGGGGGTTGGGCCACAGCCGGCGGTGCTGGGGCTTCCTCCTGGCTCTGCATTCAAGGATCAGTCCTGATAGGCGCAGGAGCCATTTGGTATGCCAGGGATTGAACCCATTTGGGCGTGTGCATGGCAGATAACCTACCTGCTGTACTATTGCTCTGATCCCTTGAGTCATTCTGATTAAGTGAACAAAACCTGTTTTATGTTTGAATCTTAGTTGTTTTTATTTATACCCCTGTGACTTATATTTCTCATTCTCTAAAATATGGAACTCTAATTTAAGATTATGGTCAATTAGATCTTTAAGTCCTGACCAAGACCCAGAAATTTTTAAGTACCCAAAAGTTCCCCACCGTGGAAGTGTTCATGCTGTCCTTGTGGTTTCTTCGTTTACTATTTTTTTCAGGGTAATGAATCCATTGTAGCAAAAACTACAGTGACGGTTCCCAATGATGGTGGACCCATTGAAGCTGTGTCTACCATTGAGACTGTGCCGTACTGGACCAGAAGCCGAAGAAAAACAGGTCTCTGGGGGTTTAGGGCTGACTTGCCTCTGTCAAACAATTGATAATTTTTGTTGTGGGGCTGTGGGGAGAATTGGTTTTAGAGAACCCTCCTGAGGTGAAGCTTGGACGTGTTGAGTAGTTTTCTTACTGCTGTAGACCGAGAACCAAAGGGCTATGTATGTCCTGTTCTACTTTTGGATTGCTAGCCTGGCCGAGGCCAGTAGCTCATAACTTAATACATTTGAAATGATTTTTTTGCGTAGCCATTATATTCCGTTCTGATTATGCTTGCAGATTATTGGTTATCTTTCATGTATATTACAGTTGGGGTTCAGATTCAGAAAAGGGTAAGCTCTAAGCTTAAAGGTGTTTGTTTTCCAGGTACTTTACAGCCCTGGAACAGTGACTCTACCTTGAGCAGCAGGGTGATGGAAGCAAGGACTGAGACAGATGCTTCTGGCACTCCTCAGAGCGGTGGAGGGATGCGCCTGCATGACTTTGTGTCTAAGACGGTAACTCAGTGATCACTTCTTTTCTTGGGTGCACTGAAGTTTGTTTGGCTTCTCTTGTTGGTGGGTCCATACCTGGTGGTGCCCACTCCTGATAGTACAGGGACCTGGGTGGGTTATACTGGGGAAGAAACTCAGTGTCGTATTTCCAAGACCTGTGTTACCTCTTGAGCCACATCATAGTGGCCATTTAAATTTTTTTGGTAGTTTCTTTTCTTTGGGGGCCTTTCCTGGAGGTGCTCAGGTATTACTGCAGACTCAGTGCTCAGGGGCCATTCCTGGTAGTGGTCAGGAGACCATGCGGCTGAAGATTGGACCTGGGCCTCCTGCATGCAAAGCATACCCTATGCCCTCAGCCCTGAGAGCTATCTCTCTCTCTCTTTTTAATGAAAATTGTATATATCAGGGATAAAATGACTTGTGTGTAAAATTTAATTTTGGAAAATTTTCTTCCTTCTTCTAATCCTACTCTACAGGGGTAACCCCTGGTTACCGAACATGTGTTTCTTTTCATTCTGTAAATAGTATTAAATGAATGAAAAGAAAAGAATTTCTCAGAAGCAGCTGTTTGTGCTTTTTAGTGATACATATTTACATTTTGTGCCTGAATATAGCATGTTTTAGCTCTGTGGCGTTGATTTCCTCATTAAAAACCAAAGCAAGGGCCGGGGAGATAGTACTGGGGTTAAAGCCCTTTCCTTGCACGTAGTTAGACCTTGTTTTATCCCTGACACCGTCTATGGTCTCCCATAACACATAGGATTGATCCTTCAGCACTGCCTGTGTGACCCTGAAGCTTAAAAGTAAATGATAAAAATTAAACCCAGGCAAACTGAGGGAGGCTCACTGGAGTGGACTTATTTGAGCCACGTGATAGTGACATTTATCTGACTCCTTGTCAACAGGTTGACACTTAGTAAATGCTCAATAAATCTTGGTTGATGATGATGCTTTTGTAATCCGTGCCATTGTTTCTCTTCTGCCTCATTTCCTCTTCAGGTTATTAAGCCTGAATCTTGTGTACCATGTGGAAAGCGGATAAAATTCGGCAAGTTGTCTCTGAAATGTCGAGACTGCCGCGTGGTCTCTCATCCAGAGTGTCGGGACCGCTGTCCCCTGCCCTGCATTCCCACACTGATAGGAACACCTGTCAAGATTGGAGAGGTACGAATGTGGGTACCATCTTTGTGTATGACTTCTTCAGCTTTTCAAAAGCTTCATGTCAATGAAGTTAATGATGCCAGGTGTTGTCCTTGCACAAGTTGTGCATAGAAATGATAAAATGTTAACTTGTACCAGATTCCTCTTTGAATTTGAGTGTATGTTTAGTATCTTCCTGAACCAAACTTCTCGTCTTTACTCCTCTCTCTCACCCCCCTCCCCTTTTTTCTTTTCTCTCCTCTTCCCCTCCCATCTTACCCTCTTTTGTCAAATTTCTAACATCAAAAAGTCTAGAGCTTAGCATAATTTACCCCTGATTCCTATCATTCAACTTCCATGGTTACTAATTCATAACTAATCTTAACTATCAATACCCCATCTTCTCTTGGACTTTTCTGGTAAACTGTTTTGAAGCAAATACTTCATATATTTTCATATGTGGATATTTTTTCTCTTTTTATTAAAGATGTCCCCTAACAGGCTGTTTAGAGGTATTTTGTAGCAAGCAAATTGCTTCTAAAGATTAGTTTAATCCATTAAGAAATTAATGTATTAGAGCACATTAATGTATTGATGCTGGACCTCTACCTTGCTACATGCAAGGCATGTACCGTAGCCACTGTGCTTTCTCTCTGTGGCCTAGTTAGCAGCTTTTGCTGATGTAATTTTATTGTTGCTTACATTTGAATGCCCTTGAGTAGAAGAGAATGAGGGGGCTGAATGAAGCTGTTGTCTTATTATTTGTTGATCAAAGATATGAGACCATCAGCCACATGGTGTAGAGGAAGGAGAAATGGAGAGTTCCTGTTCTAATACATGCTTTGGAAATATGAATTTAAAAAGTAGACAGTATGTCCCAGCCTGAGTCTGAAAGGGTTCTTTCAGTCTGAAAGGGAACTGTTAGTCTGAAAGGGTCCTTCCCACATAGTCTTCATGTGCTGGTCTGTGTGGTATAAATGATTGAAATCTTTTCTCTTCCAGGGAATGCTGGCAGATTATGTGTCCCAGACATCTCCAATGATCCCCTCCATTATTGTCCATTGTGTAAATGAGATTGAGCAGAGAGGGTTGACTGAGGTAAGGACCAACCTTTGTGGGTTTTTTTTTTTTCTTTTTGGGCCACACCTGGCAACGCACAGGGGTCACTCCTGGCTCTGCACTCAGGAATTATCCCTGGCGGTGCTCAGGGGACCAAATGGGATGCTGGGGGTCGAACCCGGGTCTGCCGCGTGCAAGGCAAACGCCCTACCCGCTGTGCTATTGCTCCAGCCCCAGGACCAACCTTTGGAGAGGAGGTTGAGTCTATTTGTGTTATTCATGTGGAGGTTCGTTCTCCTTTAAACCTTTGGGCCACAATGAGCAGTGCTCAGTACGTGAGAGTTGCGCCTAATAGCGCTTAGAGGAGTCGTGTGGTGCTGGGGATTGAACCTTTTACCTGGCCCTGGTTTGGAGAGTCTTAACAAAAGTATTGTGTTGGTAATAGACAGGACTGTATCGGGTCTCAGGCTGTGACCGGACAGTGAAAGAGCTGAAAGAGAAATTCCTCAGAGTGAAAACTGTGCCCCTTCTCAGCAAAGTGGATGATGTCCACGCCATCTGCAGCCTCTTGAAAGACTTCCTTCGAAACCTCAAAGAACCCCTTCTGACCTTCCGGTTAAACAAGACCTTTATGGAAGCAGCAGGTAAGACTGATCTGCTACTTAAGTAGGAGTCCCTCAGGGATAAGAAGATTTGACTCTTTTTACTGGTTTTTTCCCCTCTGCCGAGTACAGTGCCTGAAAATAGTAGATACTGATAAAAGTATCTGAGTCTGGAACTGGAGACAGTACAGCAAGCAGGTTTTTTTTGCCTTGCATGTTGCTGATCCAGCTTCAATCCTCCACACCCCAAATGGTCCCTCGAGCCCACCAGGAGTGATCCCTGTGCAGAGCCAGGAATAAAGGTCCTGTGTACCATCAGCTGTGACCCAAATTGCTATCCCACACCACCCCCTCCAAAAATGCCAGAGAGATAGCGCAGCAGGTAGGGCACTGGCCTGGCATACAGCCAACCTGGGTTTGATCCCCAGCACCCTGTATGGCCCCCAAGCCCTGCCAGGACTGACCCCTGAGCACAGTTGATTGTGTCAGCCCCCTACCACCACTAAACAAAAAGTAAGTAGGTTCTGAGACACTCCGATGGGTATTATATCTGTCCTCTTCCTATTTTCCTTTTTTTTTGATGGTGGGGAAAGTGGTTTGGGCTACATCAGAAAGTGTTTGGGGGCTGCATGCAGCTCTGTCCTTGGGATTACATCCACCGGTACTCAGGGATCCAGGTGGTGCCAGGGATCAAAACCTGGACAGAACATGCACTCAGTCCTTTGAGCTATCTATCTCCAGCCCTTTTTTCTGAACTGGGATACTGAGAGTTTTTTATTGATGTTTGGGTGTTTCAGGTGGCCCTTTTGAGTTTGGAGTTGTCTTTGTTTCTTTTTCTCACACCCCATAATTAGTTCATCAGCAAACTTGTCAGTGAAGACCTTGTAAAATATACCTTATAAGGGCTGGAGAGATAGCACAGCGGGTAGGGCGTTTGCCTTGCTGCGGCCAGCCCGGGTTCGATTCCCAGCATCTCATATGGTCCCCTGAGCACCGCCAGGAGTAATTCCTGAGTGCAGAGCCAGGAGTAACCCCTTTGCATCGCCAGGTGTGACCCAAAGAGCAAAAATAAAATAAAATATACCTTATAATTGAATTTTTTTTAAATCTTCGTTTGTTTTGGGACCACTCCTGCTGTACTTGGGCTAATCCTGACTCTGCTCAGGGATCATTCCTGGTGGTGCTCAGGGGACCAGATGCAGTCCAGGGTTCAAACCTGGGTCAGATCGATGTAAGACAAACACCTTGGTCCTTCTATTAGACTCTTCAGCCCTTTATATTTGAAATTTGCCATTCCTACTTTCACTTTTGATATCTCAACCTGGAGTTATGTAGCATCTACTCCGGATTTGCTCGCTCCTGTTTTTACCGTCTTTACACCACGAGCCACAGCAATTATTCTTTTCTTCAAATTCAAATGAGATGGTGTACCTTCTGTTCTTGGTATCTTCCAGTGGCTTCCCATCACTCGGAATAAAATCTCTCTTCTTCACATGGCCGCAGAGACCCTGCCTGATTTGGCTTCTGGTTATATCTCCAGCAGCGTTTATTTCAGCACCCTTCATTTCCAGTTCTGCTATAATTCCTGAAATTTTTATGACATAATCAAGCTTCCTCCTGCCTTGAGGGCTTCGCATTTATTGTTGCCTTAGCCTGGAAATAAAGTTTTATGATTTGTTCATTTATATTTCTCAGGGTTTGGGGGGTAATATTTTGTCCTTGGAAACCCCTTTCTCCGTGACCTTGTCCTGTTTCTAACCTCATGACTTCTTATTTCATTGTGTATTGTCACTACTTGATGCGTATCGCTTGCTCCAGCAGCTGTTCCAGAGAATGTCTCTATATTCCATGAGACAAGTCTTTGTTTAGGGCTGCTTTATTCTTGACACCTAAGAGAGCCTGGTCCAGGAAACCTGTCATGAACCAGGACTTGTATTTTTATTTTTCATTTTTATAAAGTAGCTCACAAGATTTGTGAACCAGTACTTCCTTGATCTTTGTAGTCACCGCCATTTGCGTGTCTGTTTTCCTAGCACACGAGTTGCCAGCCTCACTGCAGAAGCTGGCTTCTGATTTCTAATATCGAGCTATTGGCCAGTATCCTGCTTGTTAATGAGAGTAGAGTCTGATGCAGTCATGAACCTAATCAAAAGTTTCAGAAGCTTACGATATGGATGAGACTTGGAGGTCGATAACTTGGGAGCCTGCTGTCAAGGGAAAGGCTGTCTAGGCCTCTTGGTGCTTTCTTTTCATTTACAGAAATCACAGATGAGGACAACAGCATAGCTGCCATGTACCAGGCTGTTGGTGAACTGCCCCAGGCCAACAGAGACACATTAGCTTTCCTCATGATTCACTTGCAGAGGTGAGTATTGCAGAAACTTGTTTTGGGAATTAGGAATTTTCCAAGGGGAAGATAAATGTGGATGTGGATTAGGGAGAGGACACAGGGGTTGAAGTGTTTCTTTGTAGAAATTATATTTCCGCCTGCATGCTAGTCTTCTAATTTAATGCTCTTTCGCTTAGAGTGGCTCAGAGCCCAGACACGAAAATGGATGTGACCAATCTGGCGAAAGTCTTCGGCCCTACGATAGTCGCTCATGCTGTACCCAACCCAGATCCAGTGGTGATGCTACAGGATATCAAGCGTCAACCCAAGGTAAGTACGCACAGCTATGGACGTGTTGTGTACGTGTGTGTAAACTTGTGTGATATGATAAAAGACCTTGCTTGAGGTATGTTTCTGTGGCCCGAATTCTGGAAATTGGTAATATGTTTGGTGACTTTCAGGTTGTAGAGCGCCTGCTCTCCCTTCCCCTGGAATATTGGAGTCAGTTTATGATGGTGGAACAAGAGAACATCGATCCTATGCATGTCATTGAAAACTCAAATGCCTTTTCAACACCACAGACACCAGACATTAAAGGTAGGCCTTGGTTGGACTGCTAGCAGTCTCCTACTGTCTGCCCGTGCTAGAGCTGTTTAAAACATTATTCTTAAGTAAAACCGAAGTTCATTTTGAGAATTATTCCATGAAAGAAAAGTAGTAGAGTTCTAATCGTAGGTGTTTCTCTCCCCCCAGCCCACCTCCCACCAATTTTCCATGTTTTTTCCTCCATATTTCTTTGTTTATTGTTGACTTTTGGGCCACACCCAGTGTTGCTCAAGGCTTAATCCTGGCTGTGCTCAGGGGATCTGTGCCCAGTTGGCTGAACATAGACTAAGGGCCTTCACCACATTACTATCTCTTTGGCCCAGGTTGAACCTGGGTGGCTGCGTGCAAGGCAAGCACCTTACCTGCTGTTACATCTCTGGCCCAACTATATGGATATTTTAAGATAACAGTTGGGCTGGAGCGATAGCACAGCGGTAGGGCGTTTGCCTTGCACGTAGCCGACATGGCTGACCAGAGTTCGATTCCTCCGCCCCTCTCAGAGAGCCCTGCAAGCTACCAAGAGTATCTCGCCCGCACGGCAGAGCCTGGCAAGCTCCCCGGGACATATTCGATATGCCAGACACAGTAACAACAAAGTCTCCAATGGAGACGTTACTGGGCCCGCTCGAGCAAATCGACGAACAACGGGAGGGCCTTTACTTTACTTACTTAAGATAACAGTTATAGTAATAACTTCTGTATGACTTGTTCACTTAGCATGTTATAAGAACCTCTTCAGTTAATCTGTAATCTAAATGATCCAATTTTTGTGCTCACAAATTATAATTTACTAAAAATTGATGGAATAATTTACTGAAAATTGATAAAAAGGAATTGATGTTGTTTTTTAAATTTCATAAACATTTTTAAATAATGTTGCCATTAACATTACATGTGTATTTATCTTTTTTCTCCTAATGAGGAATTCCAGGAACGGAATTGAAGGGCTTGGAGCATTTTTGTTTTTTTGATGTTTTACCAACTTGATTTCTTAAAGGCTTTTTGGCAGTTCGTAAGCCACCAACAGCATATGAGACTGGTTTTGTTCCAATCTCTCTGGCATTGGAGACCTGTTCTTTCGTTATTGCAAAATTGTTTTATAGGAAGCATACTGCTTTTTTCTAGTATAAGTAATATTCAAAAGTTCAGATACTAGGCTTATTAAGTTTGGAGTTTAAAGGAGGCATTAATCAGGAGGTGAGCATGAGCTGTTCATTGAGTAGTTGCCTGCATAGCTCAAAATGATGTCTGCGACTTTGCTAGACATCCGGAAAAAAGTGCCTCATAGGGTATTCAACTTAAAATTGACCCCAACAGAGTGCTTTCTTTCCCTTCCCCTACGTTTAAATGTCTCGATTCTCATTGAAGTGAGTTTACTGGGACCCGTGACCACTCCTGAGCACCAGCTTCTCAAGACTCCTTCATCCAGCTCCCTGTCACAGAGAGTCCGCTCCACGCTCACGAGGAACACTCCCAGGTGTGTGGGTTTGCCCTGCTTGAGGAGGAGTAAGAAACCACTGCTTCCTCACACTTTCTCCCCTTTATCCGATAGCTGGTCGAAAGAAAACGAGTTAGAGCTTAGCCAGCCGACAAGCTGAAAGAGGAAACTTGGAAACCATAAGGATCAGCCCCACCCCCACGTTTTGGGTATTTGGGCTACACCTCTTGGTTCTCTGCGGCTCCTCTCAGAAGGTGTTCAGGGTTGTTCCTGGCAGTGCCCTGCGAATCGTGCCATTCTGGGCATCAAACTGGGTCTGGCTGCATGGGGAGTCAGATTTTCCGCCCTTTGGGCCCAGGGTCCTCTTTTTATTTATTTATTTTTCTAGAGCTCATCCTTAGCGGTGCTAGGAACTCCTAGCAATTTTTGGCTGCTGGCGTGGGCTGATGATTTTGGGATCAAATTCAGGGCATTGCACGTGCCAGGCCTTTTTTTTTTTTTTACCTCCTGAACTGTCTCTTCAGCCTTAGGTTCCACTTTAATTTTTTTATTTTGTATTTGGGCCACACCCAGCATTACTCATGGGTTACTCCTGGCTCTGCACTCAGGAGTCACTCTGGCGGTGCTCGGGGGAATCATATGGGGTGCTGGGGATCAAACTTGGGCCGGCCGTGCACAAGGCCAGTCAGTGGCCTACCCTCTGTACTATGTCTCCAGCTCCAGGGTTCCACTTTTCAAATAGGTTTGAAGTTCCTCGCCGTTTCCCTTCTTATCTGGGTCACAGAGAATAGCTTATGATGGTTATCGGAGTTCTCTGCTTTTAGTTGATCCTATCAAGTAGTGTTATTTTTCTCTTTCCCCCCTTTTATTGCCGTTTCTGCGATGTTTATTGGTCGCACACCCTTGGTCCCAGAGATCACACACTTTGTTGTGGCATTGGGAAGCCCACAAAGCAGAGAAGATTGTGGTCCCTTTCGGTGTCTCTCTGGGAGGCATGCCCGCCACCCACTGCTTGGCTGAGCCCCATGGACTTAGCTGCTGTTTATAGGATGCTTCTCCAATCCATTCTCTCTCTCTCTCTCTCTCTCTCTCTCTCTCTAGGTTTGGGAGCAAAAGCAAGTCTGCCACCAACCTTGGACGACATGGCAACTTTTTTGCTTCTCCAATGCTGAAGTGAAGTCATGTTTCCTGTTACCTCCCATCATTTCCTACAAAGAAGCATGCCTATACTCACTCTCTATATATATATATGTACATCTCCTCTCCCCAAGTAATGTAATACCAACACCTTGTGCAGTGTTTGCTGGAGCTTTTGGTAGAAGATCTTTATGGGATTCCTTAGAAGGGGTGATATGAACTTCCTTTTGATTCTTTTGAGGTTGGGTGGATCCCTTTGACTTAAAACCAAATATTGCTCATGGAATTACATGTCTCTGGTATTATTTAGAACTAATTTCCCTGAGCTAATGAGAGCAGCCTCCCTCTTTGCTGAGATTGACTTCTCTCAGGTTGGGAGGAAGGAAGGGTCTGGAAGGGTTTGGATGATGGCTCCTTCTGAGAACTTGAAATTTCCCTTTCCCCCATTATAAAGTGATCTTTTTCTTGGAATCTTCTTAAAATGGGATAGGAGGAGAAAGGAACTAGAGATTGAAGGATGCTTGGCTTTAATTTGAATTGATTAGGTTTTATAGTACATTTATATTTTGATTTTTGTGGGGAGTTTTTGGAGGGGACATACCCAGTGGTACTTGGGGACCATTCCCAGCTCGATGTTTGTGGGGTTATTCCCTGACTGTGCTCTGGATTGTGCAGTACTGGAGGTGGAACTGGGTCTCCTGCGTGCAGAGCATATGTTCTGGCCCATTGAGCTATTCCTTTGGCTCTACCTGTATTTATCTCTAATGGGCCTTGGGCTGGATTTGGGCCTTGGTTGGGGGTCAAAACCAGTTTGTTCTAAGTCAGATTCATTCTATTGCTTGACTGCCAGTTTAAACACACACACACACACACACACACACACACACACACACGTCCCCTCTTATTCACTGGAGCCCTTTTTCTATCTGATATCCTTACTAACAATTAAAAGTAGGCTGTTGGGGCTGGAGTGATAGTATAGCGGGTAGGGTGTTTGCCTTGCATGTGGCCAACCCGGGTTCAATTCTCAGCATCCCATATGGTCCCCTGAGCACTGCCAGAAGTACTTCCTAAGTGCAAAGGCAGGAGTAACCCCTGTGCATTGCCAGGTATGACCCAAAAAGCAAATAAAATACAATTGAAATAAAGGTAGGCTGTTAGGAAAGATTGTCAGTATTTTGTGTGGCAAGAAAAGCCAGTCTTGGGCTGATATAGCAGATAGGGCACTCGCTCTACACGCAGCCAACTTGGGTTCGATCCTTGGCACCCCATATGGTCCCCTGAGCCCACTGGGAGTGATTCCTGAATGTGGAGTCAGGAGTAAGCCCTGAGCAACATTGGGTGTAGCCCCCAAAAAAGAAAAGAAAAGCTAAACTTCTTATACTTGTGTTTTTTTGGGGGGGATCTACAGCCGTTGCTCCCAGTAGTGCTGGGGGGAGGGGGGGTGGCTTTCAGTGCTTGGCATCCAACCTGGTCCTCCTGGTTGTGCTCCAGCTCACTGAACTCTCCCCAGCCCCAGAGCTAATCTTATATCTTTGCACTTTGGATGCTGAAATCTGTCTGTGAAACAGCCACATCTAGATGAATATGAACTTTTTCTAATATTAAACTTATTTCTGTGCCAGAATGTGACTCACTGGTAGAGAGCACTTGCCTTGCATGCGTGAGGCCCTGGGTTTGATCCCTGGCACAGCAAAAAAAAAAAAGAAAAAGAAAAAAGAAAAAGAAAATCTATTAGCTATGAGAATTTTTTTCTATAGAGTGTTTTTAACCCTAGTCTGTAAAACAAATATTTGGTAAAAAAAAAAATAAAATAATGGTTTCTTCAAATTCAGTGTGAAGATGGTTTTCTTGTCCTGGAAGGTAACCTCAGTGCCGGTTTTAGAAATTGTTTTCCTCCCTTGTTTTAAGTCTTGTTCATCTCATCCCACCCTGCATACCCTAAACTCCGCCTCCACCGAGAGATCGTTTCTTTCTTTCTCCTTCAAGATTTTTCATTGTGCAAATAGAACTCCTGGATTTATCCTATGACAGTTATCTTCGTATTGAAGAAGTTACTTTAAACACAAGCCGAACTTTTAAATAAATCTTTCGGGACCAGAATGGTGCAGATTAAAATAAAAATAAAAAGCCAGCTCTGACGGGTGCCTGCCTGGAACATCCTTCACTGCTGGAAGTGACTCTGAGGTGAGCTGGGATGATTAACCGCGGGCACCTGCGCTGGAAACTCTTGAAGCTGGTGAACAGAATGTAGCTGAGATTGAACGTAAACAGTTAATGGTTAACCGTGGAGAGGGGAGCGACCTCCTGACTTTTTCCCCAGGAGGTGGCAGCTCTCACAGCGGGGCCATCTGCCTCGGCAAATTGACAGAGGGTGGTCCCATCACCCCTTCCCCGGCACACGCACACACGCCTGTTAGGTTTTACGTTCTTTAGCTCTGTCCTAGATGCGCTCTCCTCTTTATGTCTCTGCAAGCCTCGAGCTGGCCTGTCTCCATGTTTGCTGTTCTGAAGTATCTCCCCAAGGTGTATTTTAAGTCACTAATGTAGAAAAAGTAAATGGATTGTATAATGTTAGTGAAGGCAAGACTACAGTATGCAGGAACTGATGGCCCATTAGCGAAAAAGGAAATGGTCCTGTGTGTTATATGTTGGCAGCCAGAGGCTTAGATTTTGGACCAGGCCAAGAGACCATAGCCATGACAGTGATTCTGATATCAGCAGAGGGAAAGATATACCTGCCTTCAACTTGAACAGCATTTCATGTAGAACAGCTTGATTTTCGAGGGCTTTCTTAATTAAATGGTATTTCCTTGGTGAGAGATCTGTGGGAAAGCCAGAGCTTGCTTAAAGATGGCTGTCACCCATCTCCTGCCCTTTTACCCTCTGAGACTGCCTCTTACTCCACTGTTAGTGCAAATTTACTTCCGAAGACCACTTGCTAATAACTCGGATCAAGGCTTACGCCTGGGTCTATGCTCAGGGATCACTCCTGGCAGGCTTGGGGGAACGTACATGGTGTTGGGATCAACCCCATTCGGATGTGTGCAAGGAAGCACCTTCCCTGCTGTACTGTCTCCCCAGCTCTAGCCAGAATCCTTAAAGCTTTCAGTCCATCAGTATGTAAGATTCCTAAATTTGACGTTCATCTGGACAGGCATTATGCAAATCGTTGTGTTGCTTACAGAAACAGCAAGACCTGAGGTTATAGGGGTGATTTGTTGTAGTAAAAAGTGGTGATTTGGGCTACGAATTGAAACTATGGTATGAAAGGGGTCTTGAATTCCTTTTTCTTAGTTTTTGGGTCACACCTGGCAGTATTCAGGGCTTACTCCTGACTGCACTTGTAGATCACTCCTGGTGATGCTTGGGGAGGCCATTTGTGGTTCTGGGGTCTGAGTCCAGGTTGTCTGTGGGCAAGACAAGTACCCTACCTGCTGTGCTATCTTTCTGACCCCACGGGGCGTAGAATTCTTCATTTTCTCGTTTAAATGATTGGGCAGCAAAAACTGGGCATGCTTGCTGTTTTCAGTAAGCACCTCAACTTCAGATAGGCAAATGCATAAACTCGGAGAGACAGCATATGATTTGCTACTGGAAAAGCACACAGACTCCTGTTGTGCCTGCTACACTGAAGAGGTTTTGCTTAGTCATGCACCCTGTTTTCTTAGACACTGGGGCGGAGCAGGGATAAGAGTCATTATAGACTCCACGTCAGAGCAGCAGGGCAGTGCAGCGTTCAGTGCTCCAGCAAGCGCGTCTCACCAGTAGGCTCATGAGCTGTGTGTTTTGATGATAGTCTTAGTCATGACTCGTTTCACCCCTGGTGCTGAAAAGCTTTCAAGCAAGTAGAGTTGAGACATGTTAATCATTGTGCTTTTAGTATAAACAGGGTTTGGAGAATGACCACTTCACCTAAGGACTTGCTAGTGTTTTTTTTTTTTTTATCTGCTCATTGTAGCTGGTATATTTTGTAAATAAGTGAAGGCCCCAGGCCAGTCGAACCTTAACTTGTATACTTTATTAGACTCTGGTTCTCTTAGTCTGTATTTGTTGGTGGTTTCTATTCATGAAGTCACAATAACCTTGTGGGAGCCTTGTCCTCTGCGGCCATGCAGGGTGGGAAAGAGGCCACATTTGGGGGACTTGGAAGCAGGAGTTTTCCCTTTCTTGCATCTCTCCCTGATTAATTTTTTTTGTGGGGGGGGCAGTGCTTAGGGTTTTCTCCAGGCTTTGCACTGGGGATCACTCCTGACAGTACTTGAGGACCTTTTTTTTTATATATATATATTTTTATTAGTGAAACACCATGAGTTACAGTTGTAGACTTACAAATTTTTGTGCTTGGGTTTCAATTATACAATGATCAAATACCCATCCATCTCTCCACCAGTGCCCATTTTCCACCACCACGGATCCCAGTATCCCTCCCACCCCCATCCCCCCCTATCCCACCCTGCCTCTGTGGCAGGACATTCCCCTTTGTTCTTTCTCTCTTTTTGGGCGCTGTGGTTTACAAAAGAGGCGTCGAGTGTCAATCATGTTCGGTCTATAGTCTACTTTCAGCATGCATCTTTCATCCTGTGCGGATCTTCCCGACACCCTTTATTTGGTGCTCCCTTCTCCATCTGAGCTGCCCTTTCCCCTAGAATGCCCGGCTGGCCTCTAAGCCATGGAGTAATCCTCCTGGTACTGATCTCGGCTATTCTTGGGTATTAATTCGGGGACCATTTAAGGTGCCAGGGATCTAACCCAGGTTGGCCACGTGCAAGGCAAACTCCCTGCCCACTGTCTCCCCAGCAAGCACAGCTCACCAGTGGGTTCATGAGCAGTGTGTTTTGAAGATAATCTTGATGACTCTCCCCAGCCCCTAGTTACATGTCTTTATGTTGCATTAATTTCACATCACACAGTTGGACTCCATCTTCAGGCTAGGCTCAAAGAACATTTACATGGATGTTTGGACTTCTGATACAGCCTGAGTCCTAGGTGGGAGGGGCAAGCCTGTAAAGTCCCTCCAGAATATCTGGTGGTTTCCAGTACCCAGCGTGCTCCTGTGAATCATCTTCTCTCCATGCCCAGGTACAGTAGGGCTGGTGAAGTTACTCAATTAGCTAATTTAGACAGATGATTCGACTTGAATCTCCCTACAAAGTACTGTATGATTTAACCAATATTAGAACCTGGGAATTGCCGCTTCTACTCTGCAGATCAGCTGTTTCAGACACCAGCATCAGGGGGCCAGCTAGCATTAGGTATGTCGGTGACTCCACTCAGCTCTGCGTGATGCAGTTCTGGACTCTCGACAGAGACCCAGAAAGAGCAGGGAGGCCTACAGAGCCAAGAAAAGCGTCTGGGTCCTAAGAAGCCTTGCTGGTGGTAAGACGGGAGACTGGGCATGAGGACCCAGGGTCGCTCTCTGGGCAAGGAGGAGGATGAGCTGCTGTGAGTTGGGGATTGCACCTGGTGGGAGTCTGTTCTCGGGCCACTCATGTGCATCCTGTGTGCTCTGAAGCTCAAAGCCAAGAACAGGCGAGTCTCTGAGCCAAAGCCATCAGCCTGCTTCTAGAAACGTGTCAGTGGATTAGCTTATTGGCTTTCCCCCTGAGTGGCATTAGCTCTCACCCCGTCTCACGTTCACCATCTGGCTTTGAGTAAGAAGTTTTC